TGTTAAAAGTTAAAAAAATTTGACCAAAAACAAGTTAAAATATGACGAGGTAATTATGCGTTATTGGAAGACATCACTGATGACATCTAAACACCAAATATATAGTCTTAAAGAAGGCAAACACAAAAAATACAATCAAAGTATAAATGTTGCTCTTCAGTTAAATCCTAATTGAGTAATGAGCCAGTGGATATTAAAACAAGATATATAATTTTAGCCGCATTTAAAAGAAAAAGAAGTTTAAATAATTATTCATCTTTGCTATCTATGCTTAACTAAATATTCATGGGGTACAAAATTCAAGTATTGATTGCAACAACTTTTCTTTGTTTAGAAATCTCTACTGCTTGATCCAGTGTTTCGATTTGCTGGTTGTGATTGGTCATCATTTATCAAAGCCAGTGCAGTATTTGCAAAGAATCCTCTAATTGGATGATAAAGACCTGTTTGTAATTGGATGGTTGTGTGGCTCATTTAGGTGCAGACACACCATCATGCACTGTTGCCATGGAGCTGGGGGGCAAGATAAGCCTGACTACCCAACAAGGCTCATCATAACACACTGGGGAAAAGCCTGGTTATCATACTGTGAGAATCTGACCATTCCCCAGTGTGGAGTGTTGCCAAATAGACTGTGTTGAATTGCAATTTTATTTTTGGCATCATTTAAATGATTCACCTTTCACCCCTTTTCTCCCTTTTTCACTCTGAAAACGATTCCTTATATCCGTCTGTTTGTGTGTAACATTTAAATGGTAATAATGTAATGGATTCCATGGTTATTTATCCCCACAGGTTCCACAATTACCAGAATGTTTGTTTAATACTTTTGAAAATGGCGTCTAAATGGAAGCAAATCGATACAACCCCGATAAGCCTCTGTGACGAATGAAGCAAAAGTCAGAAGATCGCCACAGTACGAATTAACTCACTGTTCCTTTTTTTTCTTAAGCAACACTGTCAAAGAATAGAGGAAATAAAAAAAAGACTGACATGTTGATTTGACTGACAGTGATTTGTTGAATCCTCATGCTGAACAAGCTGTGAAACATTCTGACCTCAGTTATGAAATGTTTGCTAAAGTTAGATAAGAAGGGACCTATTTCTAAGGCATGGTGTGAAAATGTGGCTCTTCTCTCGGTGATTTTAATACATAATGAAACACTTATGAGACTCATTGTGACGGATGCAGTCATTTATCTCGTGTCTTACGTGAACCCACGTTGTAAACTTGGCCTCGTTTATTTGCAGTGAATCACAGTCAGACTGAATAGATTTTTGTTTTTATTTCCCTTGCTGCAGATTTGCACTTCAGCTCCTTGTTTTTAGTTATAAGAGTGGAAAACATCGTCTCGGACAGTCCCAACCTTTTACCCAGTTCAGCATTTTTTCAAACTAATGCCTTCAATTTCTTCATTAGTGAAATGTCATTACACTGTTCCACACACGTGGCTGAGTATGGGCTGTGTTCCTGCAGGCAGGGTTGTAGCATCGGCAAATCCCAGTCGAATTATCTGGACGGCATTGTTTCAGAAATACGTGAAGCTGCCTGAAGCATTGTTTCGAATGAAGGTGTCCCACTTCCTCTTCCCATCACATGAATATGACCCAGCACAATAATAGTCATGATGCCTGTGATGTGTTATTGCGCACTCTGGATATTATTAGACTCATCAATGTCTTCTAACAGCTGGCTCAGCCGTTTCTTAAATTAGCGATCTTGAGAGCGACAAAATGTCGTCTCAAATTTCACAGATTTCTTTGTTTTCTTTCCATCTTCAGATCAGTTTGACAGAACGGGCATGCTGCCGTACACCATGTGTGAGACTTTTTGTGCCTATATATAGATGTGATGAAGGCATTATGCTGGTCTTCTATGCAGTGTAAATAAACTCTGCATGTTTAGCACTTGAGAAGTGTTACATCTACAGAGGATTTTTTTTGCACACCAAATCTTACTGAAAATGAAAGTTTAAAAGCTTCACCTCTTCTTTATGTTGCATAATTTAACACGGGACACAGTAATACTATGCATTCAGGCCATCTATGGGCTTGAAAGACTTGCTCAGAAGGGCATATGCCTTGCATACTGCAAGCCTGGGCTGCTGTCTTTTTGTAGTTGACATTTTTGGTTCCTTGTAAAAGCACAACCTTCTGTAGTTTATTGGGTATTTCTGCAATAGACCAACGAAGCTTTGTGCACAATTGTAAAATACAAGGAGAGCTATTTATGGTTTGCAAATATTTTTACAAATTAAACATGAAGAGTGCATTCATTGTCAACCCTACATACTGTAGTACCACCAAATACAGATTTTTGCCCAAGTCTCTCTTGCAAAAGAGATCTAGAACTCGATGGGGTTTTGCCTGGTTAAATAAAGGACAGAAAAAAAAAAATACACCAACCAACTACCTTCAAAAATGACCTCATTTGTAAATAGAGTCCACGTACGTATTTGATTCTCGATATAAATCTAACTGTTCTATGATAAATTAAAATCTGGACTTGGCTTAAAACAATATCCCAAGCTGTAAACATGTCATGGAGGAATATTTAATCCATTATCCGAAGCAAATAAAATAAAATATTTGAACTCAGCCACAAAGCCTTTGTGGATAATAACTCTTAGAGTTAATTCTTGATTTTCAAAGGAGGGAAAATTTTACACATAGGTAAGGGTTGTTTTTTACTTAATATAATTACTTAAAAACTGTATTTTGTATTTGCTATAGATGTTTTTTTTATATTAAAATAATTTGTTTATCTGAAATGTAAAAGTGTGACAAAAGTTCTAACAAACAAATTGTAAGCAGGGAATTTATTTTTCATACAGTAAAACAACAGCCACGAAGTTTGTTTATGGTTTCATCGAACATAATAAGCTTTAAAATAGATCACTACTAACTGAAATCTAAATTCCAATCAGTGGCGAGACTTTGTCGTCAGAGAATACGTTGCAAGATGCTTGAATTTTACGAGTATCTGTGTTGGTATCCTATAGCAACAGAGGGTAGAGTCACAGGCTGGAAGATGATGTTGGGAGCAGCTTGTTCTCTTGAGGAGGGTGATGATAAGAGGGCAGACAAGTTTCACTCCTGATCTGACCCAAGAAGCTAAATGACACAGACAGGTGGTGCAACTGGAATAAAAAAGTGTCTGAACTGCATGTCCTTGTTTACATTCAGAGTTTCAATAATGCTGAACTCTGTCTGCCTCTGATGGAGACCACAGGGAACTACAACACTGACAAAAAGATACTTCCTTAGAAAGCTGAACAAATTTAGAGCACAGAGTGTGTCTGCACCAAAAAAATAAAAATATGCTGCAGCATGATAATGCTATTAGAGCTATAACTAATTATGATTTCTACCATTTACGTGTCTCGCGGGTTCTCTTTCAATGACACGTTTGTTCCTTGCACTGTCAGCATTAGTTTTTAAAAAACAGGAAGAAGGTTAAACAAGAAATGTGTTTATTGAGAAACTAACTCCATGAATATTTGCGATTTCTTTCTAGCATAATAATTTGAATGCCTACAAGCTGTTATTTCCACTTGGAAACTGCAGCTGAGCAAAAATCCACCGGATAGTTGCTTACTTTGACTAAGATGCTGATAAACTAATTTCAGTACTCAAAGTATTACTTTAAGAGTAACATTCATTTTCTTTGTCATTGTCATGTATTTTTATAATATTTTCACTTTCAACCTTCTGTCTTGTCTAATCCAAAGATGTTTTGGACAAGACTTCTTGTAAACCTCCTTTGTTGATGTTTTTTCATTTTTGTATGCTAATTATTTTATGTATTTCTTGGTATTCTGTAACTGTTGGTGGTTGTTGATGGATTTGTTTTTGTAAAACAAAATATACAGTAAATGGTCATACTGCTATGAAGAGTCTGAAAAACTGCAATGTTGTGTTTGTGGATGGAGGTTGCCTCTGTCTCAGGCACAGGAACCTGGTTGTCACACGCATACAGTTTGCAGGACTTTATCTAAGGAGTGTGATTTCTTGACAGCTTTCTAATTTGAGATCTCACCAGTTTGTTCTTTCACGCTGTTCTCAACATGCATTCTTTTTATAGCAAAGTATTTTTATGATGGTTGATGATCTCACTGCACATAATATTACCGTTACATAGCCAGGAAATAGAAATGAATGAAATGCACCCTGAAAAAAAAATCCTGCCCCATTTAGGAGAGAAATGAAATGTTTAATTCTGGAGACATTTGGGCTGAGTATAGTAAGCATACTGTGGAGTTGTGATTCTTTTAAACCTTATCAATTAATGTGGAGAGTGCAAATTTCATTTTCATCACAAGTGTTACCTTGATACCTGCAGTCAGAAATAGTAACTTCCTTATTTTTGAGGTAAATTATCTAAAAAAAAAAAAAAGAGCTGCTCAAAATATTGGCAATCACAGAAGACGGCTTGAATGCAATGTTTGGTAGACAATTGCGTTCAGCCTATACAGGGAAATAATACATTAAGTCCAGTTGGATGGACTTTCACTCAGACCCATGTAAAGTGAGTCTGAGTGACAGAGATGCTAAAGTTCACGGAGAGGGATGAGGATATTGTGATGGGCCGAAAAGAGAAAAACATCATTTGCAGCAGATATATTCATCAAATCACATTTTACAACAGTGAGGTTTCTCCCTTATGCATTATAAGCCTGGCGGGCCACCAAGCTTTACTTGATCCCAATTTTTTTACACAAAAATACTGTTATGTATTCCTGCAGCGCTACTTGGAAGAAATGGTTATTTTTTCTGTACCAGAAAGATGTATTGATTTTTGCGGACGATGACTACCATAAAATAATTGTGGTGTAGCAAAACTGTACTCTAATGCTGAGATGTGTAACCAAGCTGATGTTGACTCTTTTCAGATGACCATTTCACAAGCTTTCTGAACAAAGTTTACGAAGTGCATAGTCATACACGTGTTTGAAATGACTATAAACAGAAATGTTATGAGACTCAAAGATGTAGGTGTACGACTTTAATGTAGGATGCCCGGCTCAACACGTGTCGACACATGTCTCCAAGTGAAACAGTATCTGTGCGGCTTTGTACAGCGTGCTGGTGGACAGCATGTTTCCAACAGGCTCCGGCCCTTTCCTTCACTCCGCTCTGCTGTGGCTCTGGACGGGGCCGGTCCTCTGCCTCTGACTCTCTGTGAGGCGATTGGCGATTCCAGGCCGGGTCCTGGAGCCTCCCCCTGTGACACACTTTCAGTGCGGCCCCACCAGCATGACTTTCACTGCTCTCCAAGGGCGGGTGGTGCACCTTCAGGGGAAAAACAAACAAATATGGAGGCTGCTGGAGTGCAAGTGTACAGACCCTGCTCATTTGACTTTCTGTGAGTACGGATCCTCAAGCATCTCTGATATTTGTTTTCTTGCTTTAATTTGTGACCTTATTGCTATATATCGATATTGAATACATAAAGTTAATTTAGTAGGAAATTAGAAGCACGAGAATAGTTCCCCCTGTTATAATTATGTTTAGATATGCATTTAATAACTTCTTGTTATAACGCATTAACATTAATGTTTGTGATTTTCATGTTTTGTTCCCTTGACAACAAGTGTTGGGTGAAAACAGACTGATATCACTGTAATTACTGTACTTTATCTACTTTCTCACTGCAAAGTAACTCAATATTTTTTTTATATATTATTTCTATATATATTATTTCTATATGTCTCTCCTTTTACCTTCACCAAAGACTCAGCTCTGACTATTTGACTAGTGGTAGATATGATGGAGCAGAATAGTGAGTACTCTCATACCAATCATGAGTTGTGGTGGGCAGGGCCGTGTAAGACTGTACAACCATTGTGTGTGTGTTTTTTTTTTTTTTAGCCCCCTCTTTTGTGAGATACACACAAACATGAGAGGAGGTGTGTGTACGCACAAGAATGAAAAGGTTAAAAAAAGGGACAAAAAAGCTTTCTATGCGTTTCAGTGGTTCCGCTGGCGAAAAGCCACCAAACGGCGAGAGAAAGAAACGCAGAGTTGAATGGAGGTTGTGCTTTGCTGTGTTTATCTGCATCAGGTCATTCATACAGTGTAATACAACTGTTTCATGGATTTGAAGTTTCTGAATTTTGAGATTATCGTTTTGTAAAATAATATTGCTTCATGTTTCAAACTTTGTAACATTTAATTTAGATTACCCAGGAAAATGTGGACATTTCCCAACAGCAGAGCAATGACAATAACGTGGAGTATGATGTTGTATTTGAGAAGATGGGTTGAGATTGTGCTTCGGTTCCTGAAAACGGTGTTATGTCATCCAAAGAGGTGTGTTAGACATTTGGTTATTGTAAAATTACCAGTTCTGTACACATCGTCATTATCATAGCTGGTTCCTCATAAAATCCTGAATCCTGTTTTTGATCTTCCTACAAAACAAGGTGTACCAAAAGGTGTACCAGTACACCTTTTGGTTTTCATTTTTGTAAAGAATTTGCGGAGTGCAGTGAAGATGTTTTAAACCATTGAAGTACAACACAATTAAAGCATAACCTGCATGTCTTAAACACGAGGAATCAGCAGCATCCTGCTTGTATTGTTACATCAGTTTTTATGTCAATTTGTCCTTTAGATTTTTTTAAATTAACAAAACCATGAGGTGTTTAGAGGTGTTTATGTAATTTACTTTTTTAAATGTTCTTTGGTACACAGAAAGTCAACGCATTTATGAAAACTTAATTATTTAAGTTTAAAATGACAGAACATTTAGAACATAAACAATATATTTTTGCATACACCAGTGCTTCAGGTAATCATGTTTTAAAAGTTCAGGCAGTTTTGCTAATAGTTCCATGTGCTCACCGGAAAAGAGGAAGCAAAGGAAACGAAAGAATTGGGGTATTTAGGAATTTTAACATTCAAAGAGAGAAGCAGATTAAAGACTTAAAGAGAACACAAAGCCTTCATTCGCAGCAGCAGGAATGAAAAGTTTTAACCATAGATCCAGAAAGTTTGTTTGAAATGTCCAGGATGAAAGGAAACAAAGTCACCCAAAGCCAGGCTGATGCCATGTACCAGAGTCGGTACAAAGGAACTTCGGAGAAAAAAGAAATAGCTGTCAGATTGAACGACTCAAACTTCTGCAGAGCTCTAAGACCGAGCTGAAATTCATTCTTTGTTCTGCAATTTAAGATCCTGCTCTTTGACATGAAATTTATTGGTCTTAATTGTTTCTCTCAGATAACCGGTGGACAGGTCAGTCCGTGAGGTATCAGACCGTGAGACTATATGTGATGCTGGGAGAGAATTATAGCATGTTGACGGCTCAACACCCAGTGAATATGCCGCAGACCGAAGCAGTGTTTGACCGCACTGGCTAATTAGTGCGATTACTGCACAGCTGGATTGGCCAGACGTTTTACGGTGCTGTATCAAAAGGATCACTCACTCGATGAAGGCTTCGTCCCGACAACTTCTGCTTCAGCAGAGTCTCTCTATTTTAGGACCACTGGACTTTGCTTTGTCTGGGGAGTAGCTGTCTAAATTTAAGAGGATGGGAAAACTGAAGCAGTCTGTGCTTTAGAGTTCCTCTTTGGGCGACGTTAAAATCTGCAAAATCTACCTTGGACTAAAGTGGTTCATTGTTGTCAATAACAACTCATGTTTTCTGAAGCCAGGTCTGTAAGGATGCTTTAAAGGAAATAATTTGGTATTTGTGAAGTGAGATTTGTTAGAAAGTCTTATTTAGCCTTTTTTGAGATCACTATCCTGCCATCTTAATTTATAATAATCCCAGATTAGTCAGACATACATCCTGAAACTAACAACTTCACCGATTAGGCCAAAAACACAACTATCTTAAAGCATACGCAATGTTGAATTCTAATTTATTATATTTTGCTGTTGCGTAGAAATGTTTTCAGATTTGCCTCCTCTTCAGTTTCCCAACAATAGTCGTGTCAATACATCTAGTTCACAATGAGGAGATCTTACTAAACTACAAATGCTATTTTTTTTATTTTGCAAATAGAGGAAAGGTATGATGAATTACAAACTGTTTCTAAGTAATCTGCAGTTAGTGTAGAATAATTGAGTCTATGTTTGACTAGTCTATAAATTGCTTTTTTAAAAATGTTTTTAAGATGCACTTAAAGGCTAAAAAGCATTGATTGAGCTCCTTATTCTGGTTTCCACAAATAAAATACAGTTTCCATCCATTTTAAACTGCGTTTAAAGACTCGTTGCTCTAGGAAAACTTATTAGGTCCATGTTTGATCTTTTTAAACAGATGTTCATTGAATGTAGGCCATATTTCTTAGAAACTCTTAAAAAGTTCTTTGTAATCTGTTCCGAACAGATATACACAAATGCCAGAGGATATGCTGCTCATAAAAATTTCATTTTTTAATTCATTTTTCCCTCTGATTTTAAGTCATTAAAACCTTTTACATAGATCAGTGCTTATTTAACACGCTGAACAAAAATATTATTGGTACATTGGCTCCAGCCAGGCTACCATAACACACAACTGAGCAGTGTTGGTTAATTTTGGTGTACGTAATGGGGGGGGAAAAAATTGTTTCCATTTGAAATTTAAACATCTATATTTCCAGTGTTATTATCAAACTGGTCAACCTTTAAAAGACAAAACATTGCCAGATATTAAATAATTTAATTTAAGACCTTGAAGATAAGCATTTTGAAGAGGTGCTTACATTATTCCCACTAATTATTTGGTTACTAATGATGTAAGTTTTCATCCAAGTACACGTGTTCTCCAATGAAGCACGCAAAAGGTTTTGCTAACGGACAAAATGAAAGCACGTAAATCTTGTAAGATCAACACAACTTCTTAGTTACGTTACTACAGCCATGTTCACATTCAGTATCTTCTTATTTTTTTTAAGAAGAGGAGGAGATATGTCATGAAATATAGGCAGATAATTAATACTGTACAATATTAGAAAATCTTATAATGGTGATAATATTGGTAAATAGAACGATGTTGATATCAGGTGTGAAAGGCCTGTGACCTCCTCTCAGCTGCCACAAGACTAGCCAACTGACTCATTGATACATTAGCATGTAAAATTTGAGTACATTACACTTGGAATATATTAGCTAACAGTAACTGTCCTCTAAGCAGTCCTTTGATATGTGAATATTGCATATGGTTGTGAGGCAACAACACCGCAAACGGGTTCAGAAGCTAGAGGAAGTTCTTCAGAGTCCAACCTGCACTAGGAGCAGGCTGAGAAGGGTCTCAGGTTTTGACTCTGCCACTCCACCGGTGTTATCCTGGCACTTGGTGTGTTATTGAATGCCAGAATAACACCTATAGCCTACAGTATCCAGAACAAAATGTGTCCACTGCTTTGGCCCTGTAGTCTGAAAGGTTTTTAATGACCTCAGTGATCTCTGCAATGGTCTCTTGACGTATTTGCATAAATTTAGTAATTTCAGAAGTGACTGCTGTGTATTTGACATATTCTTGACGCTAAGAGAAGATTACTGGTTCTCAGATTAACTAGTTGTTGATTTATTGGTTGCTGGTTTCAACTCTATAAGTAAGATTTCTTTTTATCCTTGGTCCTTTGGTTGTTCTTTCTGCTTGACCTCTTCTTCCTCACATGGCCTCAGTTTGCCCTTTCTCTAATGCCACTCTCCATCTTTCTGCCTCTCCTCATCTCACCTTTGTAATCACAGGCTCTCGTTTTCCTCTCTGATCACTCATCTGACATCTTTCCTCTACCCGCTCTCCCTTTTGCAGCAGCCCGTCGGACCAGCACGGCGCCTCCAAGCCCCCGCTGAGCTCCTCGGCCATGACATCACGCATCCTGCTGCGGCAACAGCTAATGCGGGAGCAGCTCCAGGAGCAGGAGCGGCGGGAGCAGCAGAGACAACAGTCCTCCCACTACCCACAAACCACAGCGACCCAGACCCCCGCTATCAATGTCAGTGTCCCTGTCAGTGTACCAGCTGGAGCTCAGGTGCCAATGGAGGTGCTTAAGGTAAGCAGCCATGGCTGCAGGGGAGGAGATGGAGTGTGGCGGCATGTTTAATTAGCAGGCTTGGTTCTGTATAAAGTTTCCACCTCTGGAAGTTGTATGCGTCACTGCTCCAGTCTGAAGGGTTCAGCTGTATTAATAGATGTTGGTGACTCGAGCGTAGACAGTCAGACAGTTGTGGTTTTACTACAACCGACTGAAAAAAAAAAAAAAAAAAAAAAAGAATGGGCAGGAGTGAGTGAAGTGTGTTAAAATGCGTATATGGGGATTATCTTTCCTGAGAGAATTCCTCTTTAATGCACGCTGTGCTTCCAGCCATTTGGATTTAGCCATCTTTAATCCTATTTGCTCAGCTACGTTCACATCTTTTCGTAGCTTTGATTCCCTGGCAGTCTAAAGGGACAGAAGGTGGTTCAAGTTTTCTGTCTGGTTGGCTTTTGCTTAAACATTTTAACCAAGACTTTAGGTAAGTTTTATTCTTTATCTAATTGTTTTTTGTTTTTTTTTGCTTTTGTTAAACATACTTCAAAAATGTGTTGAGCTGTGTTGCGTAAATGTAAGCCCATCCAAAGATCTCTGTATTTTATACTTTTTGCTCCTTTATAAATTTTACTGTTATACTTTTTCTTGCTGTTCTGTGTTTAATTTTTTTTTTTGATATGAAAAACCTGTGTGTGACGCTGTTTGTGAAATGTTTTGGACACAAACCTAAGCTCTGACTACTCGCGGTTTTAGTAACTGTGCCTTGTTGGAAAATACTTTATTCCACGTCTTTATGAAAGTGCTAGGTTTTATATTGGCTACTTTTAGTTTACATTTTCTTTTTGTTTTAGGTGTTTCATCTATTTAAGCAAACCATTAAGCTTAGAATATATATGCAAAAAGCCTTTTAGTAAATGTGTGCAGTAGCATAACCTCACATGACATTATTTCTTCATTCCTTTGAAAAATATGTTTGAGGCTTGTTTTGAACCTTCCTTAGCAGACTTTTCAAATAGTTTATAAGGGATTTTAGTTTTTCATGTGTTTGTAAAAATATCAGTAATTTCCAAAAATCCAAAACTTGGGATAATCGCAATTTTGCAACTAGAACCGAGTTGTGTTGAATAAAGTGCATACATTTTTATTAAGGTGGCTTCAAATGATTTTTACTGCCATACAATAATTTCACACACAAATTCAGCTGCAGCTCTCGAACAATAAGCCTTAACTTTCCTCCTCACTGTGCATGTTATTGCCTTCACTGTGGATGTGGTAAAGTTAAGGCGAGTCACTATCTTCTTGTAGCCATTTTCTGTTTTCGTGTTTTTTTTTTTTTTTTTCCCATTTTGAAAAGTTGCTAATCGATCTGTTTGTTACGCCACAATTAAACCTCGATGTAGCAAGAAGTCACAGATTTATTTATTTGGAGCGTTGAGTTTATACAACACTGTTGCTTTTCTTTGCCCGATTTTCTTTTTAAATACACGTACTAAGTTAAAGGCTGAATTAATGGAATTTCTTGAGTTAAAACCATGTTGCAGATCATCTGTTGCATTAAGGTGTCCACTTCCAGTTTATGGTGACAGACTTTATTTATCTGGCCCTCTAATGGGAAAATAAAAAAAAGATGTTTAATCTTTGTGGTCTAAAATGTCCTTTAAAGCATAGAAACAAAATGTTAGTTGCTGAAAAATGCTGCAACAACTGGAAAAAAATGTGTGGTTTTGTGCTTAGACACATTTTCATCACATTAGGTGTGCGTTGCATGGGTCAGCACAGGACACAAATTCAGTCCATTGAAATCATTACCTTCTTCATGTAGCATAAACATGACCTACTCACCATAATCTGAAGCTCTTTGAGAGATGCAGGACGCCCCCACCCTGAACCCCCACCTTGTGTACCATACGTAAAATTTGAGTAATTTCTCTGTGTTTGCCAGAGCTTACAGACATTCTTCTTTGACTGTGGTCTTCAAAATGAAAAGCCCGTTCAAGCTTGGCGCTGTTGAGCTGGGTTAACCTGCTCCCGTCTGTAGGTAGATTAGTGGAGTCCACACAGAGCTCAGGGGTACCAGGCAGAGCTGCTAGACCTCAGAAAGTGCAAACATTAAGCTCAGATGAGTTTATCTAAAGACCGATTGGACCCTTAATTAACCAACTGACCTCTGACCTCTTGGGGGAATAAGCATGGGATCAGTTTAGGGATCAAGATAAAGGCGAGCACAGCCTTACCACACACTGAACGCTAATTCAGTGAAGAATGCTTGTAATTAGCGTCCACTGCCTTAATTCCTCCATATTTAAGAGGGAAAAAAAACACACTTCTTTGAAATTTGCGTAGGCTAACTACCTACAAGGGTTAAAAGTTATGTGTTTATTTTTAAGGGATTTATGCCACTGTGAAAAGAACAATGTACTCTTCTCCTCTCGATGCTTTTGGATCACACAATTACTGATTCATAACAAGCACATAGTTCATAACTAGTGGCACACTGATCAGAATATTTTGTGGTCGACTTGCAGTCTTGAGTTTTTGTAAACCTGCCGTTACTGATTGGTTAATAAATATAAATATTAAGAATCGTTTGAATCTCCCGACCGCTCTAGGGACGATGGATGGATGGATGGATGAATCGTTTTAGCATGTATTAGCAATTAGCATGATTAGTGTGGCCTAAAGGTTTTGGAGATCATAAAGAAGTTTTTCATTAAATTTGGGATGGGTGTTCTTTTAGGCAGCAGCTGTTTTTTACTTGGATGCAGGTCAGTGCAGTCTCTATTTTAGTTGTTGAATTATGAAGACTGATCTTAACTATGGCAACTGTTCGTCTTTTGTGACGACCTCTTGACTGTTTCATGCTCTGCTGGAGTAATTTTGGTAGACTGGCCACCAAAAACCACTCATCCATGTTTTCTCCATTTCTAGATAATAGCTCTCACTGTGCCTTACTGCTCCCCCAAAGGCTTTAAAATAGATTTGTTACCTGAAACTGTTGCTATATTATTGGCTAATATTCTGTATTTTAAATGAAAAATTCTTGAAAGAGTTTAGAAAGAATGTATGCTATCTGAGCATAGTGCAAGAAGGCATAAACTCTGAAATTAGACTTGCCAGAGAGGCCCTTGAAGGGCAAGAAAATGTATATATCAGTACTTGATATCTGTAATTTTGTTGTTCCCATATATTATTTGAAAGGGGGTTTCCAGCAGCTGTAAAAGCCAAATTATGCCAAGATGAAAAAATAATTACATATTTTCTCATGAAGTTTTCTTGTTAATTTACAAGTTAGTTGTATAATATTGTTATCCAGCTTACTCCAATTAATTGTAAGACCTCATCGGACTAATGAAAAGTTCAATAATTTTAAGAATTTTGGATATAGAGTGAGTCGGGCTTAAGAGTGTCAATAAAACATTGCATACATACTTAATTTGAATTCATGATTGCCAGTTGATGCATGCTAAATGTTCAAAAGCTAAAATAAACAACATTGGAAAGGACAGCGAGAACGCTGAATAAAGTAATATCATTACTTTATTCCATAGGGTGGATTTTGATATTTGGTTTTTGTCCATTGTAAACAATTGGAACTAAGATCAAAATACAGAACAAACGTGGACCGTCCACACGGTGAAAGCTTTCATCCAGTCACACTGTCACCACTGTGGAAGAAAGCTTGTCTTGTGCATTATTTGAAAAGAAAAAAGAAAACTAAAAATACTTGATATACAGCCCACATTTATTCCAAGTAATTTTATGATGGCTTTCTCACCATGAGATCAACTAAGTATAATCCATAACATAATCATCTAGTATGAGTTATGCTAACTTTAAGAGCATTTATCAGCCAAAGGCACAGTTTTAATTAGCCTGGAGTGTTGATTTGCAATGCTTGTGCATATTAAGCTCACAGTATGTCAGAATGAGAGGGCGACATGACACTGAAATGTTGCCGTTCACATTAACATCACAGTTGTTTGCAAATTCTGCAAAGCATGTTAGCAGTGTATCTGTGAGACAAAGCGGCCCATTCTTTCAGGATGCAAGGCAAATAGTGACTGTCTTGCTAATGTATCCTGGTCAGACCATCGTGGAATGCCTTCGGTATCCAAGTAAAAAACATACAAATCATTGTTTGTCATTCTGAGTTCACCATGCACCCATTTTTTTTTCTCCAATACAGCGCGACGCTCTGTGCTCTCTTTTGCGGAGTTTCTGACTTTTAAGGGGTCAGGTTGCCGTTGCCCTCCGGCCCGTTGTTGTCTTAAAAACGAGTGAGGGGATAAATAGTTGCCTTGTTTGCCGCAGCTTCGGATGCTGCAAGTCAGAATTTGTTGTTGCAGTTTGAAATCTTGCAACCTGAGGCGGGTACACTGAGGAGGGTACACTGTGTGAAGTTGAGCAGAGAAATGTTTAATTCAGTTCTTCTCTGGCTGGACGCACGATCCAGCTGCACTCGCTACAGACCTAAAACTGATGGCTTCATGTACAACCAAGACCGTGACCTTGGGAAAACTCAATTCTGTTAAGAGTTTCTCAACACACTATGAAAATAATCTCTTCATGACAAACAGAAAATGTGTTACACCCGACTTTACGTTGTTGCAACAAAAGCAGCATTGAGAAGACCAGGACTTTAAAGCCTGTGGTCTGTGGCCCTGAGGCTTCAGTGAAGTCCCTTGAAGCTCTGAGGTCATCTTATTATGTGTGATAATTTAGGAACTCCCTCAGGACAAAATAAGCTCAAAGGCCTCAATTGTTTATTTTAAAGAAACTAAATCAGGTGGATAAGAAATATAGCAAAAAATAAGGGGGAGCATTGGTCCGCATATTTATTTATTTTTTATTATAATGTCATTTTAAAGATTAAGGAAGACAATAGTTTTTACACGCAGCGTTGTATCTGTAAAAAGTAATTGCTAAAATATTCATACACTTTAATTTTTTTCCCATTTTGCAACTTGGCCAAATTTCACTGTATTTTATTCTGATTTTACCTTCAGTGGTGCATGAGAGTG